AAAGTTTTCCACATTTTTGTATAAACATGGAGGGGTAGAAAGAGAAAAACCTTTTTTCACAAAAACAAATATCTGTCAATGTAAGTATATTCGATAGCTTGACTTAATTTTTTTTCAATATAAAATTCAAATTTACTGGCAATTGAACTTGAACAATTTATTATAACCTCCGTCATATGTGATTATTCACAATAGCTCAGTTAATGAACCACAGTACAAGCTCAAGCAAACCATACAGAAAAATGTAAGCAAAAACGTTAACATAAAACTCACCAATGTCCCTAGGACAATCATTCTCGCATGCTTCTTCAGTTTCGAAACTATTTTCGTTACCCTCACAACCAGAATAATAGAAGGGTACACAACGATTTTCGGAGGTGTCAAAATACCATCGTGGCAGGCGTTCCGTGCAATTACCTTCTATCTTTGGTAACGAGCAATGATCTAATTGATACAGGCGGTTAGTGGAGATCTAACTATTTTTTAGAATAGAGGTTACGTTTGCACCATAGGGATGCTTAGTATAGTTGAAGTAAACGATAATGTACATACTTAAAGTTGTTGGCACTCTCAAAAGCCAAAAAAACTAATACATAAAAATGAAGCGGCTGCGAAGTAGTCCACGTGGACTAACCGAGTTTTATGACTAATTGAAGTCATGTTACGGTGACGAATAGAAATCGAGGAATGCGGGGATGGTTACCGCCGTCGTGTTCCGTTCAGGAACTGATCGCGATTTGAGTGTTGAAATTTGATATTGGTGCAGTTATAATTACTTAAAATTGTTGTTATCTGTTTAAAATTTGGCGTCCTTCGACAGGTGCTAATAGTACTAACAAGTGTGATAACAACGCAGAACTTTTTCAGTGTAGTTATTCCAATAGCGATGGTGAACAATGCGAAAAAGAGAAACCACTGAATAAGATTCGGATGCATTTGAAAATTGAAACACAGAGAGTATGTTTCAATGTATATAAGAATCTACATCTCAAGTTTGGTTTCGAAGGAAACAAAATATTACAATCAACATTAGATTTGATCGAAATTCCTTTCTCAACTGTACGTAAAATAGTCAAAAACCAACCTTATGAACGCAAGACGCGATATGATACAGGATTACCGAAATCTTTAGATATTCATCTAATAAAATCATTGAAAAAACAATATACGACTGTTACAAAAGCAATGAGATTCCTACAACTGAAATCATAAGGAAGAAATTGAATACTTNAATGGATTTGTCATGAAAGAAGGATGGAGTGGTTGTTCTGAAGAGTTTGGAGCGGGGAAATCTTCTCCCAGTGACTCCAACGCTAACAATATCAATCATACGATTGTTCCAAGCACTTTTTGGACGATTATCACCCGCTATGCTTTCCGGAAAATACATTGAAATTGAAATCTTTTCAATTATTGCCACTTACAAAGACAAAATGGTAAAATTTGTCCCGATTTTCTATTGCTAAATAATCTCCATCAAAACAAAATGGTTCAGTTTGCCCTGATTTCTTATTGCTAAATAATCTCCATCAAGGAGGCCTTTTTCTGGTTATGAGGTAAAGATAATCAACCTCTCTAGAAAGCTCACTATTCCCATTCTCCTTATATTGGTTGCAGTACTGTTCTCATGAGAACGGATACAAAATAGCCATAAGAGAACCGTTTATATTTTGGGAACCAAAAGTGTCTATGGTGCTAACGTAACCAGATATGTTGATTAACACTGACGTGATGGAACTTTTTTGTGCACTAAAATCGTTTCGTATGAAATATATTCTATGGTCTTTGGAATCGAAAAGAATTTTCATTTTAAATGTGAAAAACAACTTCGCAAAAAATTCCACACGTTTGACTTTAGGTGCTCTATTGGAAGAATACCATAACCAAGATCGTATGCGTTGCCAAGTAGAATTATTTTAAAATGTGTAAACAGAGTTTTTCAAGATTTTTCACCAACTGAAATATATAATTATAAGTGCACATATATTTTCTCATATCCATATGTGAAGAGACGCAATACTTTAATTTTCGTTACACATTTTATAATGTATCTACTCAGCTCCGAATTATCAATGTATCAGTTAGTATAAAATCCTGAATATCATTAGGTATTCAGGCATGCAGTAGTTTCGCATGCTCGTGAAGAAACATTCTGGGAAACAATAGTTTTCACTTCATTATGATGAAAAAGTTCGTGAAATCTTACCCTTCTTGAGCCCAGGTGCGTTGCATTTCTGGTTACAAGCTTCAATTGTTGGGAAATTGTTGTTGTTACCTTTACAGCCACCATATATGAATGCGTTACATTGCCCATCAGTTTGGTCATAGTAATACCGCTGGTATTGGCCGTGGCATGGACCCTCTTCTTTAGTTTGTTCACAAGGATCTAGAAAGGCAAAGAAAGTTGGTATACGAGAAAAGTCTGAAGAGTTTTCAGCCTAACAAACATAAAAGAAATTTTTTCAGTCCCCTTTCAACTTCACACACTTATCCCAGCAATGTTCCCATCTCTCTGACCTGTCCAAATAATATTCGGTGTTTTTCTCTGCAAATCAATTGTTCACAAAGTTGATTGCCTCTTCATTTGACAAAAGTATCTGTCCTGGGAGTACAATTTTTAGATAAGGGAACAAAAATAAGTTGCTTGGGGCTAGATCTGGTAAGGCGAATGGTCAAGCAGTTCAAACCGTAATTCGTGGATTTTCAACATCTCAACCGCTAAGGTGTGAGACGGTGCGTTATTTTGATGAAACAGGATTTTCTTTTTCTGCAAATGTGGAAGTTTTTCCGCAAGTTCTGCCTTTAGCTTATCAAGTAATTATGCGTAGTATGCTCCTGTAATGGTTTACCTTATTAAAAATAATAGATTAAAATAACTCCATGACTATCCCGAAAAAGAGTCGCTATCACTTTCCCAATTATTAAAACATTTTTTTTTGGAGCCAGTTGCTCCGTTGCAGTCATCTATTTGGACTGTTGAATAGAACTGGCCGATACTTGATGAAAATGCATATTAAAAACTAATCAATACAGTTTATTGTATGATTTTTACTATAAGGATTTTACAGAAACCGCGACAGGTGTTTCGCTATACAATAGCTTCTTCAAGCATGTTTGGACTGTTTGTTTCGGGCGTATAATAGTGTATACAAGTTTCATCTAAAGTAAATAATTGGTGCCAAAACTCGTATTTATTACGCCTAAATTGCGCCTAACTGCGCGTCAAAAACGAAATTCACTAACTTTTATTCATGAGTGCTGCTATCTTCATGTTGAGGTTGGAAACTTCCCAGCCCACCCTCATTTATATGAATATCATCAGAAAAAGTATCTTCAAGATGATGATAAACTGAAAGATGATTGCCCCAACCTCCAGTAATACATTAAGTATATGACTCAAAAGAAGAATCCTGAACCCATGATCCCAAAATAGCAGAAATTATTTTTTCTTACCTGCACTGTTGTCTTTAACGCATAAACTCATGCAGGCTTCTCTTGTATCAAACCTGTTATTGTTGCCAAGACATCCGCCGTAGACAAATGGTGCGCAGTTTTTGAGCTTTGAGTCATAGTACCAAACTGGATAGTATCCCTCACACGGACCTCTCACTTTCGGAAGACCACATACATCTGAAATGTTAAGTAGATAATTACCCATAAATTCAAATGATTGGCATTCTATGTAAACTTCTAGGTGACATAATTTCAATAATATACCGGTTGACGAAGATTTAACTGCACTCTATTGCTATCTCGGTAAACGCTAGTTGCACACACACCGATTTTGGCCGGCCAGTATAAAATCGGCCGATATTTTATTGGTAGCGGGTGCTTGCACACTCACCGAATTTTTATCGGTCAAACGAAACGAAAACAAACCAAAACGAAGTTTATGCGTAGTAAATACAATTTCACCGAGCATTCGAGACTGGAATGGTCGTTAAAAAACCGGTGAATATGCAAGAGTGTATTTATTCATGTACGCCACTACTTCCCGGTACTGTCGGCGATACCGTGGCAGTGGACGGCTGCTCACCGGTATTTTACCGGTGACGATCACCGATCGGCGTGTGTGCCAGGTCCCGTTCCCACATGTGGTTCACTAGTGGAATTTGGACGGCCTATTTTGTACCGTCGACCGGTGATCGTCGCCGGTAAATTACCGGTGAGCAGCCGTCCACTGCCACTGTATCGCCGGCAGTACCGGGAAGTAGTGGAATATATGACTAAATACACTCTTGCATACTCACCGGTTTTTTACCGACCATTCCAGTGTCGAATGCTCGGTGAAATTGTAGTTACTACGTATTAACTTCGTTTTGGTAGTGCGTGCTAATTACGACAACAAAGCAACTGATTGTTTGACCGATAAGAATCCGGTGAGTGTGCAAGTACCCGCTACCAATAAAATATCGGCCGATTTTATACTGGCCGTCTAAAATCGTTGTGTGTGTGTGCAACTAGCGTAACGGTAGCCGCTTCGTGAGCCGCTTCGAAAAAATTAAAAAAAATGTAATTGTTGATTTCGATTCTTCTGCTCTGGTATCTTTATTATACCGAAAATTACAAAAAAATATAGATATTCCTAACTAAACTTAATGAAGGCTACAATATGCACTCCTTTTGTCATACGAAGTTTCGTTTACATAGGACCACCCTCATTAATTTCTCTTCAAGTACGGACCTCTATTTTTTTAACAAATGTTGATGTCTCCCTCAATTTTGCCCTCTTCACTCAAAAGAATATCATCATACCTAAGTTGATTATATCTGGAATTTTATATCAAGGCTAGTAATTCATTTGTTATTACGAAATGAAAAATCGAAATTGAAGCCTGTGATGAAAAAAAAATGTGCTTGGAAAAACGGAGAAAGTTAATTATTCAACTTTATGAAACTTCAAGAAAGTCGTAACTCGTTAATTAGACAACGTGTTATAATCACGGGAATCAAGTTACCCCTTCCTTTCATGTTTATCCAGTCCGTTGTACTCGAGATTGTACCCGAAATTAGGTCATAATTTTGTAAAATTATTTTTTTGAATGAAGAAATACAACCCAAGAAAGACTTTATATTTCATTCGAGTTGAAAGGAATGTGCAGTAATTTGCTGTGCATTGATGAATGCAGGATTGAAAGACAAATCAACATTTGACATGAAAAATACAGGTCTGAATTAAAAAAAAAATCGATGAGGTTGCCCCCAAGTAAACGAAACATCATATGAAAAATAGAATTAGTGCATATTGTGGCATTTACGGAGTTCATCGAAAAAGCTCTATACATTTTTTCAATATTTTGTATAATAAGCATACCAGAGCATGAAAATTAAATCGATCATTTCAAATTTTTTCAGTTATTTCGAGAAAGGCTCACTAGGTTTGGATTTCTCAACATAATTTCATCGCATCCTTTTTTGTCTAATTCAACAAACATTGTATCTTCTACCGTTACGGAGATCGGAAAGTGATCAACTGAATTTTCGCCACCAGGTATCATCAAGGTATTCAACAATACAGCCATGCCCATTTGTAATTGGTTAAAAACGTTTAGAAATTCGGACCTTCATTGACTAAAAAAGTGTCAACAGATTTGAAACCTAGGAAAGAAAAAATAAATAAATATAACAGAAAATGACAGGACATTGTAGATATGACCTAAAATGACTATGAATAGATAGGTAAATATATTATTGCTATTTTTATCATTATTTACCGAAGTGTAAGACGGTCGGAACCTGTTCCCGTGAGAGCTCTGATAGTCGAGAAGAACTACATCAGGCTCATTACCTTGTATAAGCCTAAGGGTGGGGAAGGAATGAATGAATAAATTCGGCACTTCTCCTCAACAACGGATTTTAATCAGATCAAAGGGGAAGAGAGCCAGGCTTCAACCTGACTAAAATCAAGATGGATTTCGACAACGGATTTAACCCTACGTCCGACACGCAGGGTGTGTCATACCCCAGCTGTAGAAAATTCCATATAACTTTTCGAAATTGGCGCCCCAGCGTCGGATATATTCAGTAGGTTCCGCATATAGCCTCCACTCTCATATTCACATCTCAAATTCTCAAATCAGTCGTCGTTTGACGTATGTTTGAATCAGACCTGTTATAAAGCGACTGGGGTGCATGAAACCCCACGTGTCCCTATGCGTTCCAAAATCGTGCGCATTCAAAGAAAACTTAATCGAGTAGTTTTTTAAATTATTTGATAAAAATGGTCATTATGAGCGAGAAATGGCCCGTCTTCAGTCCTTATGGGATGAAATAGGAAGTGATGATGAAATTGACGAATCTGATGGTGATGAAACGAGCGATCCTCATGTTAGCATCGTGAGAGATTTCAAGTCACGTTAGTTCACGACGTTTCGATTGTTAGTATCTACAATCGTTTTCGGGTGATGACTGGACATATTCCTCCGAGAGATGACTATTTATAGGTCGTTCGAGTACTTTCACTTATCCCCGCTTTCCATTTTCCGCTTCACTGGTTCCGTGGGAGATGACCATTTGGCGGGAGTTGGCCGTTTTTACGCTTGATGATGGGTTTCCATATGTTGCGTATTTCTACACTGGCTTGGCTGAATACGTTGTTGAATACTGCAGAATACATGTTGTCTAACAACGTATTCAGGGATTTCAAATCATTTTATATAGTAGACAATGGAAGTCCGAACTAGTGCAATTCATCATGAAACATTGTCAATCACCTTCGAACAAACGAAAATAAGTTTTTTGTAAAAAGATATATCACAGTATAGAATTCTCATAACAACTATGTTAGAATTAAAAAAAAATACAAAAAAATCATATTGGGATCTCACATACCCCACTTATCTACAAATCTTACAAAAGTCCACATGTCGGACGCAGGGTAAATATCTTCTGGGGCGTAGAGCAACACCGATATCTCGTCAATATCGTAGGTGGTAATAAACCACCGCGTTATGTCGATAGATATAGGATATTATTATTACTATTGACATTTCACTTATTGAAAAAAAACTTGCAGTCGCATAGATTTCTGGTCCTTTCTCGCATCCAGAAAAGACTTGTCCTTGTAAGAGATATTTTGAAATCGTATGATTCAATAATGTTGCGTAAAATTTTGTGATCAACTGTTTTGGAAGTTTTCATAGGGTCTATAAAGACATGCTAGGAATTGATCTGCGAAAGAAAATATCTACTTATATGGAAAATACTAATCATCATCTGCTTGAGTCAAATTCATGTACTGTTGTGAAAACAACCCGGGCACTTGGTCCTTTGCCTCATTGTTTTTGATACTGTCTACCGTAGTAGTAGACGAAACATCAGGCATACAAACTTGCAGATCACATCCAACAAACAAAATGGACTGAAAATTTTATCTCTCAGATTAAATTTTCGTAATACCTGTTGAACTTTGTTTCTGAATAAAAGAAAGTGTTGAACTTTGTTTTTGAAATTCTTATATCTGCTTTCGAACTTGTCTTTTAGTTACAATTATGTTTCTCTTCGAATAACAGTTTCTAAATATACTCACACTATGTTATACCCCCAGCTATTTCAGGTCAAAGTTTTTTTTAAACAATGTAATAACAGAATTTTATTTGTTGTTATAACTCAAGAGGTTACAAAAAAATTACCTGTGCCTTGTGGTTTCACACAAATGCTATCGCATTCTTCTTTCGTGTTATAACGATTACCATTGCCGTCGCAACCACCATACCAAAACCTTGAACAACCTCCGTACTCCATATCGAAGAACCATTTAACTTTGAAGTCTCTGCAACTTCCTTTCTCTTTGGGTAATGAACACCCAGCTAGAAACAAGAATAAATATGTATCACATCAGTAATTTTATTTAGAAAATTCACAATCAATTTCAGTATTTCACAACACTTTTTATATTTCAACTCGATTGCTTTTTTTGAAAAGAGTTGTTTTCGAAAATATACAAATATTCGGGTTCATCTGTTAAAATATGTTTTTCCGTTAATTAGTTGTCGTCCCCCTATGAACGACAACTCTCAAAAGTCGAAAATTGTGCGAGCTAAGGACTAACGAGGTCTTATCTTTTAACGTGTGATTCCTAATACGGATTGGACAATAGCAAGTGAAAATCCATCGTCTGGCCTTGCGGTTCCAAACCCCGGTTGAGTGAGTGGAGCAAACCACCCACGTCAACCCACCAGGCTTCCGTCCCATCATAATAAATGATTCAATAGTTATGGAGGGATTTACGTTAGAAAATGGGTTCTTCAAACACCAACTATTCTACACGGTTCAAAACTGTCACATCATTTCGGTAGATAATGAAACTGAAAATCTCGCAGTGTCACAAAAAGTTACATATACTATGTTTACATGGCATTTTGAAGAAAAATTCTCAACAAATATTGTTACTTAAACCAGCAATCACTGTTCATACACCAATTTCAGGAAATGTTTAAACTTCAATAAACACATTTCAACTTATTTTTACTCTCATGTTCATCAAACTTCACTTACCTTGAAGATTTTGTGGAGCTGACTCACAACCCTCAAAGTTCTCCCCTTTAGCTTCATTAACCCCATCAATACAACAACCAAATTTGGTGTTTTCACATCCGCAACCTTTCGAATTTGGACCAGTCGCCGGTGTTTTGTCATCAGAACAACAACCAAATTCTGAATCTCTGCAACTACATCCTACGGAAAAAATGGAATTTATACAGATTATAAAACGTTACTAGAAAAAAAATGACCACTTTTTGAAGTTTTGTATCATGTTTGATTGAAAATCAGAAATATACTGATTTTTTGATATTTTTTATTTATTTGTGAGGAAAAACTTCGAATGAGTTTTCTATTGTCATTTACAAGATATTTCATCAGTTCGGACTTCCATTGTCTAATATGATAAACAAAAAACTGAAATTACAATGAAGTAACATATAAGCAACAACCAAAAAAAAATTGAACTATTAACACGAGCTGAAACATTGAAAAAATTATTAACAAGAAATGAAAATTAAAAATGTAAAATTGAAAGATTCCAAACCAAGTTACTTAATGACGTTTCGATTGTTAGTATCCACAATCGTCTTCAGGTGATAACTGAAGACGATAGATCTGACTATTTATAGATCATTCGACTGCTTTCATCTATCCCCTCTTCCCTCTCTCCACTTCATTGATTTTAGGGGGAGCTGACCCTTTGGCGGGAGTTGGTCGTGTTCCGCTTGATTAGAGGTTTCCATATGTTACGTATCTCTTCGCTAGGTTGGCTAAATGCATTGTTGGACAACATATATGCGGCTTCTTTGAATTTTCTCCTAAACCAGTGTTCCTCCTTGTGGATGATTTCAGCTTGAGCCCACTTGTTGTTATGTTGATGAGACCAAGCATGCTCTTCTATTCTGGATTTGCTGGTTTCTCCTCGTTGTGTGTGTTTTTTTGTGCTCGGCAATGCGAACTTTTAATGGCCTCTTAGTTTCACCGATGTATCTCCCTCCCGCACTCGCAGGGTATCCGGTAAAAGCAATTCTTGGAATCGCAGTCCGCGTTTGGTGGCCTGGTTTTCGTGAGACTGCTACGGATAGTGTTCCCAGATATGAAGCGGGTTCTGATGTTATACATGAACCCAATCCTTCCGACAATACTCTGATGTAGGGAAGTACAAGTACTGGTTGTGGCGGCTTCTCTTCCTTGTGGAGCTCTAGCTGTCTTCTATCTAAAGCCTCTTCCACCATCACTTTGGAGTAACCATTCCGTTGAAGGACATTCTTGATGATGCCTAGTTCCTTTTCGATACCTTCCTTTGTATTGCAGGGTCAGAATATAGTAAAGTCTTGATGATACCTCTCTTAGTTGATTGATGGTGGTTGGATTCCTGGTTCAGATACTGTCAGTTATCACCTGAAGACGATTGCGGATACTAGCAATCGAAACGTCGTGAAGTAACTTGGTTTGAAATCTTTTGATTTCATATTTTTAATTTTAATTTCTCGTTAATAATTTTTTAAGTTTTCTGCTCATGTTATTAGTTCAATTTTTTTTGTTTTTTGATTGTTGCTTTTATGTTAATTCATTGTGATTTCAGTTTTTTGCTTAATACAGGGATTTTAAATCAATTTATATCATATTAGACAATGAAAGTCCGAACTGATGAAAGGCATTACGAAACAACCACCTTCAAACATACAAGATATTGATTGAAAAAGAGCAATTATTATTATATTTTTGAAATAATTTTCCTGTTGCTTCTGAATACACAACCGTTCAATGATCCTATACATACCGTGTTCCAGAAGCCTGCTTGCGGATCGAAAATCCCCATTAGTTTTAATTTCAATAGGAATATTTTACTATATTTACCTAGTCCATGAGGTCCCTTCGCTATACTAACTCCATCGGGACAGCAACCAAACTGGAAACTGTGACACAAACATCCTTGAAAATCTGGTCCATAAGCAGGTTCTACGTTATCGGGACAGCAACCGAACGAAGTGAACTGACACCCACATCCTTCTAGGCTATAGCCTTGCGCAGAAGTTTTATTGTCAGGGCAACATCCATATGGCGACAACTCACAACCGCAACCTTGATCGTTAGGTCCCATAGCAGGAACGATGTTGTCAGGGCAGCACCCGAACTGAGACGACAGACAACATCCTTCCCCGCTGGGCCCATGTGCAGAAGTTTGGCCATCTTGACAGCAGGCGAACGTGCTGTTGGAACATGGTAGGTTGCAACCTTGGAACCCAGGACCGGTTGCAGGTGTCACACCGTCTGGACAGCATCTATATGTTGTGTTACTGCAATCTTCCGGTACAACTTCTGTAGTAGTTTCAATAGTGACTACTACAGTTGTTTCTTCAGTAGGTGTTACTGTTTCTGAAGACGATTCTGTAGACTCACTAGAAACTTCTGTAGTGCTTGGTTCCGTTACTACTTCCGTACTTATTTCAGTGGTTGTTTCTGCTTCTTCACAACCTTCGTGGTTGGGACCCGAAGCTTCAGTGATGTTATCATTGCAACATCCATACTGTGACATGAGACATTGCGGTGGACAGCCTTCGTAATCGTTACCTTCGGCTATTGTTTTGTTATCCGGGCAACAACCGAACAGGGTTTCGTTACAATGTTCCAATGGGCAACCAGCAAATTCAGTTCCAAGAGCAGCCGAAACACCATCCTGACAACATCCGTATTTAGATTCTTTACAGGTATGCGGGGTTGGACAACCTTTATCGAACGGTCCTTTAGCGGGGGTGATATTATCCCAACAACAGCCGTATTCAGTTTTCCTGCAAGTTTTGATTTTCCTCCTCTTGCACATTTTTCTAGTTTTATGGAACAATTCAATGATCGGAGTTGTTCCATACAGATATGAGTACGTAGTTTGTTCGCTTATTACACTTTCAGTAGTAGTGCTGAAGATATCAGATCCGGTAATTTCGCTTTCGGTACTTTCCACCGTACTTGAAATTTCCGTGGAATCAGTACTGCCAGTAAATTCAGTTGTGCTACCGATTAACTCAGTTGTAAATTCTGTACTAATCTCCGTTAATTCCGTAGTACCAACAGTAACTTCTGTACCTTCAGAGGATGTTTCAGTGCTGCCAGTAAATTCAGTTGAACTATCGGTTGACTTTGTTGTACTATCAGTGGATACTGTGAATTCTGTACTAATTTCCGAAGTACCGCCAGTAACTTCTGTGCCTTCAGATGCTTCAGAACTACCTGTGAATTCTGTTGCCATAGAGCTGGTAACTTCTGTTGTTTTGAAGGATGATCCAGTACTTCCTGCAAATTCTGTTGAACTTTCAGAAATCTCTGTAGTACCTTCGGTTAATACCTCTGTACTCTTGGAAGTTTTGCTCATATCAGCACTGCTCAAAATGTCTGTACTGCTGATGAGTCCGGAAGAACTCTCACTGCTGCTAGTTTGTTCAGGAGAAATTTCTGTACTGCTTTTTGGTTGAGGGGTACTTTCTGCACTACTGGCATGCTCAGGAGAACTTGCTGTACTACTTATCGGCTCAGGAGTGCTTTCAGTACTACTCGTAGTATCAGTAAACTCTGTTGTACCAATCGTGAATTCGGAAGGTTCTGTTGTGCTTGCGGAAATTTCTATGGTTGTACTGTCACTTGTAGGAACTTCACTTAGTGTTGTGCGGCTAGTAACTGATATTTCTGAAGTACTTTCGTCTGTTATTGGGGTTGTAATATCTGCACCACTAGATAACTTTGTTGTGCTCTCAGTGGAGGCTGGTGTACTACTGAATGATTCCGTCAAATCACCAGTACTAGGCTTCGTTGTGTCAGATAATGATGTTGTACCAGGAGTTCGTGCATTGGTCGTCAAAGGAAATTGGCTCGTTTTGGTGCTACTTAACTCTGGTATGTCTGTTTCAATGGACGATGATTCTGCAGTACTTTCAGTAACTGCTCGAGAACTTGAAGTATCTGTGCTGGCTTGTGTTGTACCTGTTTCCGTACTATCTGTGAAATCATCAGTTCTGCTGCTAGACTCTGTTGTATCAGAGCTATCAACAACAGTGATCGTGGAAGAAACTCTACTAGCACTGCTGGTAGACTCTGTTCTATCAGAACTATCAATATCAGTGCTCGTAGAAGAAACGCTTGCCTCAGAGCTGCTATCAAATTCTGTGATACTAGATAATTCAGTTTTATCTGTGCTACTCGTAAACTTTGTAGTGAAGTCTGAGGCCGTTCTATCCGTCGTCCCTTTGTCAGAAGGTGATACCGTTGGTTCAGTATTCGAACTGGTACTTTCAGGTGATCGGCTTGTTTGCAAGCTACCCGCAGTTTCTGTGCTGCTAGATGTGTCACTAGTTTTGGTGCTTCCTGTACCATCAGTGAAATCTGTTGTACTATCAATTGACTCTGTCGTGCTGGAAAATATATCTGTGCTACTATCAGTAACACTAGGTGACTCAGAAGTGATTTCAGTACTATCGGAAACGTCATCAGTGCTATCGCTTATACTACTTCCATCAATGTTTTCAGTGATAACAGTTGGACCAGACGTATTGCTTTCTCCAGTTTCTCCAGAAACTTGCGTTCCTGTAGTCATAACTGATGATGAATCACTAGTATAATCGCCAGTGGTATCTGTTGTCCAAATTAAATAAGTGCTTTCACTGCCCTCCGTTATTTGAGTGACTTTGTCGGTAACTCCATCATCTTTCGGCACTATTTGTTGAGGTTTTGGGTGTCTGACTCCAGCTTCTGACTCGCCCACAAAAACTCTGTCATCTAATAGGTCGGTCGTTACTATCGATTCAGGAGTAGTAATGTCATCAGTTGAATCACTTCCAGATCCTTCAACCAAAGTTATAGATGAACTATCTGTGGAACTACTTCCAGATCCTTCTTGATCTTCCCCTGCAAGAGGCCCGTCGTTAAGCATAAGTTCCTCGAAAGTAAAAGGTATTTCTCTGTCATTATCAAGCTGATCTCTTGGTTCGTCGCTCTGTTCTAAATCTTCAATTGGTACTTCCACCCATTCACCGTCATCGCAGTTCGTGTCAGGTACTATTTCATATTCCAGGTCAGCCGTTGAAGTTTTAGTCACTGATGAAGCAGTAGGTATTATTCTCGTTGTACCGGATGTTTCTGATGTACCACTTTCTAGAGTTGTTTTCTCTGTTATTGATGAAGTGTCTTCAGTTGGCTCAGATTCATCGACTGAATGTGTGACATCAGTAGGCATTATTGTATCTGCAAATTAAAAATAGTCTATCTGATAGCTCTGAGTTTCTGTGTAGTAATGGGGAAGAATGATAATAACCTTCTGAACAGGGATGACCGTTGCAGTCCTCATGGGAAAATACGATCGTATCCGATCCACATGCTGTCGGGTCGACAACTTCCTCGTCTTTTATACATAACACCTTCTTCGTTCGTTCTCCTCCTCCACATGGTTTGGAGCACTGAAAAATATTAATCTAAATGAATACAGTATTTCATAACATTTGGTACCAAGTGGTACCATTGGTGTCTGGTGTTTTTTGGAGTGTTTATGCTTCAATTCGAACTTTGTTTTCGTAGTTCCAAAACAATTTATGGAAATAATGAGTATAAATTAAAACAACTTACTTTTCCCCAAGGACCACTGAACCATTCTCCTTCACACTCTTCATTGTCTCCTGTGCAGTTCTTCAAGGTCTCGAAATGTTTCGATGGGTCACATTTTTCAATTTCAACTTTTTCGACTCCGTTTACCGTAGAAACCCCACAAAAGACGGTCCTTGTCTGGACACCCTTTCCGCAAGATACTGAACACTGAAAATAACAGTGAACGATGGTATTGAAATAAAATTATATGATATTTAGCGATCTATTGCCTATTTCAAACACAACTTGTATAAAAGGATATTACGTGAAAAACTAAATAGTATCTTACAATCTCTACTTCTAGTGCATGGCAAAAGTGTTTTGTCGTAAGGGTGGATTTAGGTCTAAATTTCGGGTGCAGGGTAATATTTATGTATGAAAGTGAAAAACTCAAAAGTATCTTACAATCTGCACTTTTAGTTCGTTGTAGAAGGGTTTTGTTGCAAGGGCGAATATAGGTCTAAATTTCGGAAAATGGGGTAATTTATGTATGAGAGTGAAAAACTCAATAGTATTTTACAATCTATACTTTTAGTTCGTGGTAGAAGTGTTTTGTTGCAAGGGCGTATATAGGTCTAAATTTCGGAAAACGGGGTAATTTATGTATGGACGTGAAAAACTCGAAATTATCTTACATTACAATCTGCACGTTTCGTTCGTGGTAGAAGTGTTTTGTTGCAAGGGCGGATATAGGTCTAAATTTCGTAAAATGGAGTAATTTATGTATGGAAGTGTAAAACTCGAAAGTATCTTACAATCTGCACTTCTAGTGCATGATAAAAGTGTTTTGTCGCAAGGGCGAATTTAGGTCTAAATTTAGGGTGCAGGGTAATATTTATGTATGAAAGTGAAAAACTCAAAAGTATCTTACAATCTGTACTTTTAGTTCGTTTTAGAAGTGTTTTGTTGCAAGGGCGAATATAGGTCTAAATTTCGGAAAATGGGGTAATTTATGTATGGAAGTGAAAAACTCGAAAGTATCCTACAATCTGCACTTTTTAGTTCGTGGTAGAAGTGTTTTGTTGCAAGGACGGATATAGGTCTAAATTTCGGAAAATGGGGTAATTTATGTGGGGAAGTGTAAAACTCGAAAGTATCTTACAATCTGCACTTCTAGTGCATGGTTAAAGTGTTTTGTTGCAAGGGCGCATTTAGGTCTGAATTTTGAGTGCAGGGTAATATTTATGTATGAAAGTGAAACAATTGGAAGTATCTTACAAACTGCACTTTTAGTTTGTGGTAAAAGTATTCTGTTGCAAGGACGGATTTAGATCTGAATTTCGGAGAATGGGGTATGGGGTAATATATGTGTGGAAGTGAAAAGTATCTAAAAGTATCTTACAATCTGTACTTTCAGTTCGTGGGAGAAGTGTGTTGTTGAAAGAGTGGATTTGTGGAGAACTCAATAGTATCTTACAATCTACACGTCTAGTGCATGGTAGAAGCGTTTTGGAACAAGGGCGGATTTAGGTCTAAATTTGATTTAGACCTAAATATAAGTAAATGAGTCTTATATATTTCTAATAAGACTGTTACATTAATACTCTGTTTACAGAAATAGTGTATACGGGATAAATTATTATCATAAAAAATTATAGTTATTATGTAGGACTTCTTCGATTGACGACTTGTTTATTTTGTGGAAATTCATGTTCACTGAGGATACACTACAAAAACACACTTTTGTCTATTTTCCACCATATTTCTTTATTGTTGACCGGTCAACAATAAAGAAATATAGTGGAAAATAGACAAAAGTGTGTTTTTGTAGTGTATCCTCAGTATTATGTAGGAAATTTTGGAGTTTGAGTCTGGCTTTTAGGCTGGAATGACTTGAATTGTTATATTCACCAATATCAATTTTATTTCTTATTTAATTTCTGTCATTCACTGTCGAGATAAGAAAGACTAAAGTGGGTTCACTTTTCCACTGTTGGTACAGTGGATTCGGTTTCTGGTTTGAATGTATTCCCAAAAAAATATGTTTGGTAATTTATCGAATGTTGACCTAGATGTTTCATTATAATCCACTTCACATTTCGTTTCTATATACTTTGTTTTTTTATACAAAACGTTCAACAAAGTTCCTTGAATTTTATCCATTCTGAAAAATATAAATTGGTTTGAACTTGAGGAGTCTGTCAAATTAGGAAACAGTTGCCCATTTCAGAGTTCATGTCAATGACGTTTTGTGTTACAGGATACTCTGATTATATGTGGTATATCAGTGAAATCAACATAAAAAAGCTACCTCCTAACGGATGATTATTACTTAGGGTTCAAATGAAAATTAAAATTGGTCATGATTTATCGGAGCCGAAACGTCGGACTAGAAATAATTAAAAAAACTGAGTATAACTTTTTACGTACATACACAAGTACACATACTCTTTTATTTTATCATATTCTATAGGTTTTGTAAGTATCGCTTTCTTGTGAAGATTCTTTAGTGTAGAAATGATCAAAGACTACAAATGACGACAAATTCTCTCACCAGAAACCAAAGTATTCCATAATGTACAACTGAAACCTCTACCGTAAAATGAAATCAACTAAAACACTTTTCTCACACACCAGAATTGTGATACTTTCCTTGATGCGCTTTTCACCAACCACAACAATTTTACGACCTCAAACATTGATCGAGACTCTTAGGTCATCTTCTGAGGACACCTACTTTTCCATGACTTTCTGTATTTGTATTTGAATACATATAATTTTGAAAGTGAATTTTGAGTAGAATTCGATTCTGGAATTTATTTTGTTCGTACAAATTGTTAGGAAAAATCGGTTTCAAGACACACTGAAATATTTATTTTGTGAAAAACAATTGAGAAAAATGAAATTTTTCTCAAATATAACTGAAATCTATGATCCGTGATTTTTGCTCGAAAAAACCACAGTCTAATATGGTTCTGATAAAACGTTTGGCTGGATATTATAATTAATTCATGAATCAAGTGTGGTTGAAATACAGCATTTTGGCGATGAATTTATCGTAGTAAATATAAGGTCTATCTAAACCAAAAAACTGCAGAATCAAAAGCAGTTGTTGAGTTTAGAGACTCTGACACCCTAACATTTATTAAAATCATTATATTCTGTGTAAATAATAGTCACCTCGCTCCATTGAGATGCGTACCACAAATATTGGCAGGTGGTATTCATCGATTCACACTTCCTGACCAAATCCGGCTTTTGTTGTTCACTTTCGCAGAGTTCATCTGGATAGATTTCTCCTTTCGCGGTGGCGCAATATACTTTTCTCGTTTCGTTCGTCAGGCCACATATTCTGTCGCACTGAAAAGGATAATATTGGGTTTAGAAGAAAATGGTGTGTTTCATCAATTTACCCCGCTCCATTCTGAAGTTATCCAGTCAACTCCCTCGCACGGTCTAAGTTTGCATTTTTTCGCTTCTATCGGTCTGGGCTCTATTGCTTCACATTCAGCATCTTCTAAGAGTTCAATTTTACCTTCTTTTTCGATGTAACATTGAATTTTTCTCGTTTGTTTTCCGTCTCCGCAAAGATGGTCGCACTAAAAATAAACAATATAATTAACAAGTTCTTGATCCTAAAATTAAGAAATAGAAATATTTCAATTCACTACATAATTTGTTATTTCTGTCACTGCCGAATGTAAGTATTTTTATTCATCAATATTTTGAAAAAAATTACTTCTAGGATTTTCTATTATTCTTCTCTATAGGTTTTTCTGAATGGCTATAAATTGTTCTAATGTTTTTGGATTTCCAAAAAAAAGCTATCACTTAATCACGTATTTATTCATTTTCAGTGATACGATACACTCATTGAAGATACCTTAAAAATGTACAACCCTAATTTTATTTTACAATTCTTGAAAATGAAATTACAAACTTCATTTCAATTTTTAAAAAATTGACAAAAATCACATCTATATGACATTTTTTCAAACAACTCTACTGAGAGAAAAAAACAAATTTATATCATAACAGTTTTCACAAAATTTTTTAGAAAAGCACAAGAGGAAAATCAGAGATAAACAATAATTGGATATCAGTCATATTAATTTCCTAAATTACAGAGTGTTCGACAAAAATGTATTGAAGTATTTTATTCCTGTTGTCCACTGATACATTTAATACTTTGTCCAAAAAAATAAGATTTTTTAAATTTTCACCTAACATTCAGAAACGTCAAAATCCTTATGGTTTCGTTACCCGTCCTAGGGCTACCAAAAAAAGTTACGATTTCTCAAACTATTCCCGATCTATTATACTCATGAAAAAAATTATACACTTTTTTGTATATACAATAATTCCAAATGAAATAACAATTACAATGGTTTCGCCCATTTGCAATAGTAGCAAAAAGAATAATTTGAACAATTATAGACCAATTTCCGTGTTTTCAGTTTTTGCAAAAATCTTGACCTTCTATATAATGCCTTTCAAATTGTAAAAATAATTGAATTGAATTGAAGTATCCAAACTTTGACACTCTGTTTCTCAAAAAATGAGCCAAGTGAAGTCATTATTTCATAAGACATTTTTTCAAAATATATGTCAAAGACAAAATCATCGTTTATGATGTATCTTGTATAATGAATAGCGAGGATTACTCACAGGTTTCCAGGGCCCAGTATGCCACTTGGCACATATTTTTCCGACATTACATTTTTGTTCTTTCGGGGGCCTAGGTTCCAATTTCAAACATTCGGAATCATCCGCCAGGGTTGGTTGACCATTAGAAACGATCTGCTGGCAAAATATATCTCTTTCCTGAACACCACCCTCCCCGCAAGGAGCGGAACATTCCTTCCAAGGATAAGGAATCCACTGTGCCTGACAAGGAATTTCGCTACAACGTCTCTTGGCTTCTGGTTCGGTGTTGGAGTCACACAGGGATCTGTCAACTGGCTCCAGGGAATTTCTTCCAGCACAGGTAACGTTCCTGAATTGATAACCTGAAAATCAAAAAGTTGATTGTTTACAAAACCAGAATGCCTGTTTGCTGATTTGTATAATAACAATTTGAATCATATGACCTTCTGACTACTTAATTACTGCTAATTTCAACTGAATTCAGCTATCAACTATATCATGAAAGAAAATTTCATTAGTTTTCATTCTGTGGAAGGGTGGAAGTACGGTTACTCTGCCAACTGAGTCATAATATATTGAAATTCAGAACAAAATCTGTCTTCATGAACTTGATCCCAAATATTCTACTCCAAAATAAAAACTCACCTCCGCCGCATGTTGCAGAACAGGGAGTGAAGTCGTCGTAGTTCCAAGAATAAGTTTCTGTTGATGGTGGAGGAACATTGGTTGGTAAACTGTAGGTGTAACTAATAGGGACATCTGAGTCTTGATAGAGTAGCTGTAAAAAATGAAAATGAAATAAACTTACAGGAATATAACATTAGTATTTTTCAGTAGTTCGGACTTCCATTGTCTACTATATAAAATGATTTGAAATCCCTGAAACAAGTAAAAAAGAATAATTAAAAAAGAATAGTTGAAAATAACAATTATATTAAGCAACAATAAACCTGAAATGGAATGATAGTGAAATAACCTACAAGTAAAAATATAATAATTGAATAAATAAAAATTAAAGGAATG